GCGTCCTACAGGTATCCGATAGGATAATATCAGATCCGACAGGAATCCGTGAGACGGAATCACGTCGAGTCCCGTCAGTAGTTGGATCCGATCGGATCCTATAAGAGATCCGACAGTTGGATCTGATAGTATCCCAAGATCGTTATCTAGTACTGATAAAATGAATGCTAATAAAATTTGCAGCAATTAGGATTTATCCGATGGGAATCCGACGTGATTCCATTTCACGGATTCCTGTAGGATTTTGTCGGCTGGTTGGATCTCACGAGATCCTATGAGATCCGGTATCGGATTGACGGACCTGGGTGATGTATACCGCGTGATATTGGCTCAAATCTCTCTATAATTTTTCACAATTCACCGTGTTATTTGCCGTTAGTAACGTATTTGAAAAAAAAAACGTATGAATCAGTTAACATGGACTCGGGGACTCCATATGTGTTTGGAGTCCCACGGAGTCTCGCGGAGTCCCATGGAGTCCCGTGGAGTCCCGTGGAGTCCCGTGGAGTCCCATGGAGTCCTGGAGTCCCGGAGTCAGCTTTTTCCCCCTTGCCACACCCACATCCACACCCACACCCGCACCCACACCCACACCCACACCATCTGACAGCAAAACCGAACATTTATCAGGTCTATTACCTCTTGTTCTTGAAACACCTGTCATTTTAACGCAAAATATTGCAATTGAATTGGTTCTCATCAATGGTGTGAATGGAATCTTTCGACAACTTATCTACCAGGAAGACTCAGTGTCAACTGATGTTATTTCGGAAGAATTTCCTAACAATACACGTTATATTTATCGACCTTTGTACGCCTTAGGGGAAATCAACAAATCAAAGATCGAATGCAACTTAGAACAACTACCACCAAAGTTGATTCCAATACCGGTAATGGAACAAACATTTCGAGTCGATATAAGTGATATTATTCCGAAAGATAAGAAGTCAAAATCAAACCGAAAAGCAATTTTATCCGTTAAACGATGCGCATTATCGCTTGTACCAGCCTACTGTATTACAACGCACAAGAGTCAAGGTCAAACGCTGAATAAAGTTGTAGTAGATTTAAAACTACCTAACGAAACTGATGATATTGCTGCAGTCTACGTACTGTTGTCACGGGTAAAACGTTTGATTGATTTGGTTATATTGTGATATTTTGATTATAAAGTATTGTTAATCAAACCCAGCAAGTCACAGCTAGCGGAAATTGAGCGACTCGATCAGCTATATTTAGAGATCCAAGTGTGTTTTTCAGAGTGGTTGTAACATCTTTTCTACTTTGAATGAAAACTATTGTAGTTTTTATCAATTTCCGTAAATAGTTTTCTTTTATTAATTATTTATTCCATGATGTACATATTTTCATACATTTTATTATTCGTTTTGCGTGCATTAGCAGTATTTTCTTTTCTTTGTTGTCATATATCATGATGTGTGCGATAATCCATGTACTACCTGCTTCTCTGTATTCATTGCATGTTTTTTTCCTTTTCTTTGTTATAAATTTAATGTCTTCGTAACTTTTGATTAGTTGTTCAATTTCAGGAATAAACACGCTTCGTCGTAATACTACCTCATTTTACTAAATAAATCGTTTTATTATACAATGCAAATACGATGGTCTATAAATTCGATAATGAAATCACGTTTCATTTTAAGATTTTTCAAAGCTAATACTTTGGTGTAAATGTATTCTGATTAAGATATAGTTGAAGTAGTCTAGGAGAACTATATCTAGCTCCGACTATTGAAACCAATCTCTTTCAACTCATTATTCTTGTCTGATCAAATCATATCGTCCTAGCATATAGCCTTATCACCTGACACTATGATTAGTAATCGCCATTTTATAGCCTGAATAAATTATCGCTGTTGAAGGAAACCTTATTTCTATATTAAAAGCTAAGTAGAATTTCAAGATATTCTTATAATTGTCACAATGTAAGAGGTAGAATTTCACGAAATATATCTTTCTAAGACTTAATTAAATGAAAATGCTAATGAGAAACTATAATTTTATACGAATAATTCTTATAATTTCAACCAAACTTTCTATTAATCGCCAACCGTTACATTATTGTGGCAGATGCTATTGAGTAATTTTCATATTTTCAGAGATTTTTATAGCGCACTACAATAGTATATTAATCCCATAAAGAAACTCTTCAGTTGAGGGTTAAGCGAGTCGCAGCTATGAGCGTTACTTGTTTTTTTAATTTCAAACATTAAAAATCAACGAAATAGATAACCGTGGGGTAAGTTATTCTTTTTGTCTTTTCTTTACATATATCTTTAATTACATCTTTTTTCCTTTTAGTTCTCAATATCATCGCGTTGTCGTTTATCATCGTCCAACACCAAAACACGTGAGTAATTATTTTTTTTTTTTGAGATGAGATTGAAGGGAAGTTAGGATGAGCCTTAGCATAGTGAGTGTTAGTGGGGAGGGATATGAATGATATGAGTCTGTCCCGTGCGTACATGATCATTATGCTCGCCACGGCGCCACCAGGATGGCTCCTGGTCGCGCACGCGCATGAATAGAATAGCCATTGTTTTCATGAATTCAGCGTGATTTATTTGAAAGGAAAAGAAAGAAAAAAAATAATCCATTGTAATGAATTTATGTCATTGAAAAACGTTGAACACGATGATTCTCCCAATCGACGACATAGAGATTCCCATGTCGATCGAAGGACAGAGCACCGAGAAAATTGAACTGATTTGCTCCTGGTCCTTGACCATTTCCACCTGCTATGACAGTGCCCTGATTTGCTCCTTTAGGCCAACGCATCACTCGATTATTCCTCCAGTCTGCCACATAGATGGTACCCAATGTATCGACGAACAGCCCTTTAGGATGTGCCAATTGTGTCAGAGTATCGCCTTTGCCTTGACCTCCAGCGACGACAATTCCTTCTTTTCCACCTTTATTCCATTTCATTACACGATGATTGTGGTAGTCTGATACATAGACAGCTTGTTGTTGATCGACAAAGATGTATCTCGGTCCGTTGAATTGATTGAGATCAGCACCTGTGCCATTTCCACCAGCTACTAGAGTTCCATTTTTGTCTCCTATTTGATATCGTCGTACTTCATTTTTTTCGACATCAGAGACGTAGAGATATCTCTGTTCATCTATGGCCAATCCATAACACTCGATGTAGTTAATAAGAATTTCACCTTGAGTTGTGCCACTACGAAGAGACCATCGTACGACGCGTCGATTGCCTCGATCAGAAATAATAAGACTATCCGTCTCTTTGTCGATCAACACATCGGTTGGACGATACAATTGATCCAATCGATTTCCTTCGCCATGCCCACCAGCTACCACTCGTCCATTCGTATCACCCACCTTCCATTGGATGATGCGATGATTGTAGCAGTCAACGATGACCATCGTTTGATCATTATCAACAATGAGACCAGAAGGCCAGTAGATTTGATTAGTGGCACTGCCGTATCCATGGCCTCCAGCAACGGTCACTCCATTCTGTGCCCATCGGGCATTGACTGGAATATTAGGAATTACTACAATGAACGAAAAAGAAAAGGAATCGTCGTTGTCCAAGAAATGTATCCCTCTCTCGCGGGAGAAAGAGCTATTTAGGAGACATACGTCTTCTTGGAAGGGAATTAGGTAAAAGTTTCGAGAATATTCTTTTCGCAGAGAAAAATTCAGAAGTTTTTTCTTAGTTTTCTATGAAAAAGACGGATTTCGTAACGATTCTTACATCTATGTTACTTCTACTTCTTACCAAGATCTTTTTGACCAGAAAAACTACACCATGAGATTGCTGTAAGGAGTTTTTTTGCGAGAAAGAACAATGCTAATTCGATGCAAGCTTTCGAAAGAAAAACCTAGGAATCTGAGAATTTTATTCGAAATTGCGATAATTCAGAATCTTATGGAATAAAATAATGAACAATGTGAAACTCCTAAACTAGAAAAATCCTAAGAAGATTCTATCTGCATCTTGTCGGGAGGATGTTGAATAACAAATGTCAAACGTAATTTCTATGTTTCTCGGGGAATGTTAAGGATTCAGTATGTTAATAGGATCTTAGTAAGATCATATAGAGTGTTCAAAAAGTCTTGGCCATTCTAAGAAAATGAGTCATTCTCTCTTATTATAAATGCAAAAACGTTCAAAGCTGGAAGTATAATCCCTTATAACTAGTCGAATATCACCCTACATTTTCAGATTTCTAGTCCGTATCATAGAGAAGAGTTTTTACCATGTCCTAACATGTGAATAGTGAAGATTTACGTAAAAAGAAAGACATGAGAATGAGGAAATATTAAAAGAATTATAACGAATCGAATTATATCTCAAGATTAATCCTTTCGCGGTGAGATTATTTTTAGCAAAAAACTTATTCGTATTTAATTGAAAAGTAGTCCTTATTACAGGCTGTTAAAAGTTTGTGCAGTTGGAAATCAAAAGGACTGTTTTTGTTGTTGAAAATCCTAGCAATCACAGAGCTTCGCTATTTATAATATAATTTTTATTAGAAGTGTTCAAATGTAGGACAGGTCTCAAAACATGATGCTACGCACAAGCCAACATTGCATTCCCTACACTCGTAGTTAGTTTTTGTTTTCTGCTTCGGACCACGAATCGTATGGCAAAATTGATGTCAATTTTTCATGTTTTTCAGAAAAATCGACTTTTTTTGAGTGGAAGGGTCTTGAATAACATGTAAAGATATAACGAAAAAAAAAATAACTCTGCTACATTTAAATGTGTTTCTTTTTTCGTATTTTTCCAATTTTTATAACATGTGAACTATCATCCAATATTGACTATACTCAGTTGACATCATTATTAAGAAAGTGTTTAAGGTGTAAAATATGTCTAATGAAAGAGAATGCAAAAACGAAATTTGATAATTTTTTCTAAAATTTTACTAAGAATGCACCCTCTTAACAAAGGTATCAATTGAGTACAATACATGTTCAATAGAAATTTAGATATTACATTTAAAAATATATCTTTTCAATCTGTTCAATTTTGTATATGCGAAAATATCGAAAAACAAAATCAATATAAGCTCGAACCTTATGAAGTATATAACTGAAACTTATTTATGATATCGCTTTACATGTATCTACGATTTCAATGGAAGTACTAAAAATTTGGAGACAAACTCCTATTCAGCCATTTGTCTTCGGTAGCCAATCTGTCATCTACATTAATTCTTAACTAACTACTATAAAAAAAAAAAGATGCAATCAATGGCCAAAAAAAAATATGTCAAGTAATGCATGAATAGAAATGAAAATGCGACAAAAAAAGAATCGGTTACTACGTTATATAAGTGAAAGAGAAAAATATTCTAAGAAACAAGAAAATTAATATAAAATAATATGGAGATGAACAAAATCGAACTGAAGCAAAAAACAAAAAAATATACGTTTCAAGCAGTAAATAAACACTTAGGTCCCTGAAAAAATAACCTTTGTTTCAAACTTGAAAATGAAGACTCATGAAAACTAAATGCACAAAGTCACC